ATATTTTAACTTCTATAGGGTGGCTCAAAAAAGTGTGAGTGGACCTGGATGATTTTTTTTAAATGGAACACACTGTATATTATTGCATTTTTGGCTTCCTTTCAGATCACTTTACATAACCCTAAGATATGAATAAATACATTTCGATAGTTTCAGAGATTTGGTTTGGTTTGGTTTGATTTGGAAGGAAAAATATATATTTTTCAACCCTTCTTATAAAAAAATATTAGAAATACAAGAACTGTTCTGAAATCAAAACTATACGTAAGTATTTACTTTAGATGGTCCGTACTTACTTTGCTATAAATATGAAAATCTTAAATTATACAGGATGTTCAAAATTCTACGCCAAACTTTCTAAAATATAAAATAATTTTTCTTCGTTTTTTTAAATGGAACACCCTGTATATTATTTTTTCAATAGATGGAGAATTAAAAAATGAACCGTTTTTGTATTTAGAGCATTTCAAAATTTTTAACGGTTTCGCAGATATTTGCGGTTTTATATTTCATACGGCATTTTCCACAGTAAATTTTTATCAAAGCCACCCAATGATTTTTCTCTCGTATTTTACCATTGAAAGCGCCATATGAAATAATACTGCGTGTATCTGCGAAACCGTTAAAAATTTTGAAATACTCTAAATACAAAAAATGTTCATCTTTAAACTCTCCATTTAATAAAAAAATAATATACAAGTGTTCCATTTAAAAAAACAAAGAAAAATTATTTTATATTTTAGAAAGTTTGGCGTTGAATATTGAACATCCTGTATGATTTACGATTACCATATTTATAGCAAAGTAAGAACAAACCATCTATAATAAATACCTCATATAGTTTTGATTTCAGAACAGTTCTTGTATTTTTAATAATTTTTTTAAGAAGGGCTGAAAAATATAAATTTTTGATTTATTTTTTAATATCTCTGAAACTATGGAAATATATTTATTCATATCTTAGGGTTATGTAAAGTGATCTGAAAGGAAGCCAAAAATGCAATAATATACAGGGTGTTTCATTTAAAAAAAATCATCCAGGTACACTCACAGTTTTTTGAGCCACCCTATAGAAGTTAAAATATTTTCCTGAAATACATCCTGGTACATACTTCAGGTTTGCACTTAAACAAAATTCTCAAGATTTTTATTCTAGGAGCTACAGATGCCCGACGCACTATTGCCGGACCTTGTATAGTCACTTACTAACGAAAAGTTGTTCCATTATTTCACTCGATTTTTGCCGAGATCTACCGCACGCTACACAACCAACTATTTTAGAGTCTTTTTCGATAAATCGCGATAGTGTCACTGTTAATTTTAGTTCTGCCACAATTTCCATCTAGATTTACTACCTTTATACAACTATCAGTAGTAGAATAAATAATAAATAACATAAAATAAGCTCCGTAAAGACTGACAAATCCATAAAATTTCAAATCAAATTCAAATGTGTCAAATGAATCGTCAAACAGAACTGTCAAGGATCTCCACCCTAGAGTCCTTTTTCCGTCCACCATGCATGAATACATGGATAGCATTATGCTCCTTGTAGCAGTTTTCTGCGAAACTTGCGCTACAATTACAGCAATTGCACTTGTTGCGAACGCTTATAAAATAGGGTGGATTCAGTTTAAAATGAAATAAACATTTACGGGTTAAATAGTAAACATTAATATTTAATAAAAATAAGTACTAAAAATGGACAAGGTTTCTCAGCAGCAAATGCGAAGAACACTTAGCAGAAGAAGTTTATAGTCTTAGTTTTCAAGGCAATTATATAGTCTATGAAGCCTTTACTGCCAAGTCAAAATAATCAAAGTCAATAATTGTTTGTTACCAGTTCTTAGTTCCTATTGTTTTTCTGGCACTTTTCACAACACATCACTCACAATACCGAAGAACACTCAGAAGACTTACTAACTAAACTTAGAAGAGTTACTAACTAAACAAGAAGGTACTTATTGTTGTTAACTAAATAAGGGAGAGAGCAAATATTTCTCTGTTTAACTACTAGAGAGAAATACTATGCGGAGACAATGCGACAGAGTGAAAGAGAAGAGAGAGAGAGAGAGAGAGAGAGAGAGAGAGAGAGAGAGAGAGCGTCTCTAGCGCGATCTTAATTATACAAAAATTAATGCGTGGCAACTTAGGCCGATGTTCAGAGAGGACTGTGTCTTTTTCGCCCTTAAGCCCCTAGAAAGTTGACCCAAAAAGGGCATTTTTTACGACCCGACAATTTTTGTAGTTCTGTGAAACAGATGGACCCAAATAGACAGTACTAAAACATTTGCTGTTCAAATCGATTTTGAACACTCCTTCCTTAGTCTTCTTATTCAAAGTTATAAAACAATTAACTTGTGATTTCTAACCACAATTTTTTTTGACAGATGTTAATCAAAGGCCAAAAAGACATTCGTCGCAAATTTTGAAGTATAATTAGAGGAAAAGTTAAAAGTTTGTTAACTTTTTCTATTAATTGAAAATTACTACCACTAATTTTGACGTTTAGAATGCTTACATTGAAATTAAAAGAACAAACTTCTACGCTAATTGAAACTACTAATTTATTCCACTAATTGCGAGTTTCTGAATGAAGCTTAACTCTACTTTGTTTTATTAATTCAGATATCTAATAAAATATCTTATTCTGTTGACGTCAGTACAAATACAGGTTAGTGAACGTCAACCGACATAATAGCTTTATCACTTTGTGATGGTTATTTTAGATGGGCTGAATAGAATAAAAATGAGTTGCGTGTCATTTATAAATCACGATTTGATTTGATGCCAACATTCTAACTCAGTGGATAATCGATTAGCTAATAAAAGTTTTGGAATGAATAAAATGCCGCACCAAGTTCTCTACAATTTATGTTTTTTTAGGAATGTAGCTTGCCCTAAGGCGATCTTTTAGTAAAATAATGTAAGGTTTTGAAAACACTATACAGGTTTCAAAAGCTGATACTAGTTCTCCATTTGCCAGCGATAAATACTGAACCGCCAGTACATTTCTTGAAAAAATACCCAAGGGTTATTCAAGAAATGAACCCACTCCAAAGGTTTAGGTAGACGCTATTTGTTGAACCGTTTTTTAAATCCTTAAAACCACCTTTCTCAGCCTCGGGATGAAGGAAAATGTCCATTTTACGAAGAATTATTAAACTGTCTTCACCTATTAAGTTTCAGTGTTACATTAGTCCAAGATCTCAGAACGATCAGACATAACTTATTTTCACACTGATGAAACCTTAGGCTCTCAGTAGTGCTTTGAATACTGGCGTGTTTGTGGGGTTAGGTTTAATAAATTTGTGGAAAATCGAAAAAGGGCTGCTCGATTCTTGCTGCAATCCCAGAGCAAGGCAGCTTCAACTAACGTCGCCATTTATGTACTGTTATATTGAGAGAACTGATTGTTGCAGGAAACGAACAACCATTTTTTTGAAAGGGTAATTTATTAAAAATCCCGTTTTCCAAAAAAAGTGGAACTGCCTGGTTATTGCAGCCACCCCTTCAATTGACAAGTGTTTAGAGGAACGTTCCTATTATTGGATGTTCCGATTAAAATGATTCCATTGTATAACTTTTTCCAAAATAAAGGTACGATTTTAAAATACTTATTGTTCCTATAAAGGAATGCAGCCTATATAAAACACAAAAATACAGCTACATATGAATCAGTTAGCTCTGTGATCCGACGGGTAACGGAATATCATTTTTTGAAATCGGTAATTCCAACATCAAAAAACGTATTCAAAATAGAATTATGTCTATCAAAATCTATATCATACCCTGCGCAACCATGATACATAAGTCTTTAGAAATTATATTTGATGCGTCATGTCATAGTTAAGTAATGAGCCTAAATTATCGAAAAAAAATAAGTATTGATTCTTCAAAACTATCAATTTTTATGAAAAATTAAAACATTTTTATAAAATGTAAATCAAAAGAGTGCTTAAATTGGCTCTTGTAACTTTATTTCGCTGTAGTTGAAAAAGCAAAAAGTTTGTAGAAAATTCTGTCTCTTGTCATGTTCCGACGGATAAAAAAAGAAGACTCTATAATGATGTTTAATGAAAATAATGAAAAAATTGATGAAGCATCAAGTAAAACGTTAAATATTATGTGTTTTCAATGGTTTGGTTTGGTTTGGGGGAAATTTGTTTAGGAATATTAAAGAAAAATCATGGCAATTTGAAACGATCCACTGATGGTACTGATCAGTTTTAGTTTAGAAAGAGCTACAAAAAATGTTGGATATAGAAATTTAAAAAATATTTTCCGATGGGTAGAGGAAGAGTATTCTATAAAGCTATCCAACAATGAAGATATTATTATGCGTTTCAATGGTTTAGAAATATGAAATATGTGTGTTGATGATGATAAACAAATGTAATATGAGTTATAATTCTGGTTAAATTATACCGGATATACTTATGAGAAAATAAATAATAATTGTGTCTTTTTGAATATAAACTTTTTTAAAGAAATGAAGAAACTTTCTAAAAAAATAAAATCATCGCATTGAGAAATGATCCATTTAGATATTTGATCAGTTCTGGTTCAGATAAAACTGCAAAAAATGTTGGATAAAGAAGTTTGAAAAATTTCTTCCGACGGATAACCGAAAATGATTCTATAAAGCTATCCAACTATGAAGAATTGATAAAATAATAAGTAAAACAGGCAATAATAAATGTTTCAATGGTTTAAATTGATGAAAAAAGATAATGCAACTTGAAAGGATCCATTTATCGGATTGATAAATTCTGGTTTAGAAAGAACTACAAAAAATGTTGGATAAAGAAGTTTGAAAATTTTGTTCCGACGGATAAACGAAAATTTTGATGAAGAATTGATAAAATACCAATTAAAACAGAAAATATTATGTGTCTCAATGGATTAAACAGACGAACGATGTGTTTATGAAGATAAATAAGTAATATAGGCATGAGTGAAGATGAAAAGAAGGATGTTTGTATAATTTTAAGTCATACCGGATGTCTTGCGGCTGCCACCGCTGCTGCCGCTGCCGCATTCATTCCTGCACTAGGGTACATCGTACGTCAGCAACTCATGGTACTACCAACGCGTCCCAACATCCACACTTCGTGCCTTTTTTCTTTTTGTTCTCCTCTATATTCCTTAATCCATCCACCACAAAGGGGAATAAATAAACACACCGGATTATCACCAACCAAAATACACCACTCCGAAAAAATAAAACACTAGTACGCACTACAATAAGACACTGAAAAAAAACACTAAAGCTCGCACTGATCGAATCACTCCCTGGAACCAAACAGAATTTATTTTTTTAGTTAGTACTCAACCGGACGGTTAAAATAAATAATAATAATAATGAATCGAATCGTCGGTGTAAACAACGAAAGAGGAAGCGACCGACGTCCTTCAGACAACACGATCGCAGAACAACTGGCCAAGTGACGGCTCCCCACTCTTTACCGCGTTGCCTCGATGCACGCGCTGTCTCTGTCGCGTTCGCGGTTGAGTCGTATTTCCGTCCTTTTTCCGCGTGTTCGGCTCAGTACGTTCTTGGGGGCCCCTAATCCGCTCGCACACCCCACTACGGCGTTGTCGGATCGGGTGGAATTTTACCAGATCTGGTGATTTTTCGCGAGAACTCGCGGAAAAATGTTATGCAAAGTATGTAAAATTTGTTTTTGATAATATAATAAATTATTTACTTGTGCAGTGTAAATACTTAAATTGCATTTTATTTTTAAATATCACCTGATATGGTAACAATGCACTTATTTCATCAGCACTTCTCAATATATACAGGGTGAAACTTAAATAAGGGCAAATATTTTTAGGGATGGTATATTTTTATCTACGAGATTTTTTCGCGAATATATTTTTTTTAATTTTGTATTTTTCGAGAAAAATTGAAAATTTTACTTATAAAACCTAATATCTATAATAATGTGGCAAGATAATATGGCAACATAGGTAGTATATTTAGAAGAACAGAAACCCATTAAAAATGCAGTCCTCAAAATTTAAACAAAATTTTTTTTTTTTAATTTTCAAAATAAACTAACGGTTATTTTGGAGTTATTTGAAAAACGATAAAGCAAAATATGTAACTTTTATCGATATTTACCAGCCCTAAAAATATTTTGTTTGTATTTTGTTATTTTATTGGGATAGCCCTGAAAATATTTGCACTTATTGAAGACTCGCCCTGTATATACAACTAAGTATTTTGAAAATCATTTTTTTTTCGGTTATTTTGGACTTATTTGGAAAACGATAAAGACAAAATATGTTACTTTTATCGATATTTACCAGCCCTAAAAATATTTGCACGTATATACATATACTGGGTGCTGGGTGCGTCTCAAAAGTGGCTAACCCCTATAACTTTTTCATTTTTTCAATTAAAAAATGAGATTTGGTATGTTAGTATATGGAATAAAGTAGGATTGATTGACGTATTCAATTGATTTGGGCACTTCCTGTTTCACCGGAAACGACTACAATTTTTGATTTTTAAATGGCACTCTCGATATTTTTTTTACTTTATTCTATAGAAAATAACACTCTGAATCATATGTCATATGACATATGAACATATCATATGTCAACTTTTGACATTTTCGCATATGGTTTATTTGAAATTATAACTTGCGGTTCGTAACGAAAATTTGACTCGAAACACCAAGTGTGTGGTATCAAATTATTTGTAAGAAATGCTTTTTCCAAATATGCTTATGAGCCACCCTCGTTCCATTTGAAAAAATTGAGATATGATTAAAAATACGATTTGAGCATTTTCTAACTGGCCAGGACAAGGAACAAGACACTAAAAACATTTAGATGATCAAATCTATTTTTCCAGTGTTTTAACATAGCCATTATGGCACTCTAGATTGTCAAGAATGTCAAAAGTTGAATATGATATGTCATGAGGATGCCATTTAAAAATGAAAAGTTGTAGTTATTTCCGGTGAAAAACGAAGTGACCAAAAACAATTGAATACGTCAATCAATTGTAATTTATGTCATATACTAACGTACCAAATCTCGTTTTTTTATCTGAAAACAATAAAAAAGTTATAGGGGTGAGCCACTTTTGAGACGCACCCTGTAGGACTCACCCTGTAGGATTTTAGTTAAATATTTTGATATAATAGCAAAATGAAAGACTAATTCACCACAATACACCAAAACACACATATCAGACTATTAAATCCGGAATCTGGTTAACTTATTTAAAATTCAGTTTTAATCAAAATGTATTTTATGTGAGCTGGTAACCCCAACCATAATACCGCACCTATGTATTCAAAAACAAAATGTATTTTTAACACAAAAATACGAACTTATACTATTATTTTGCCCACTTGGCAACACCGCGCTGTATTTTCTATCTCACCCCCTCTCGCTCACAATTCCGGCTAGAGTACAAAAAGCCTACAAACCCCGGCGAAAAAAAGAGAGTCTGCTCTCTCATCCCCTATCGAGGGTGGACGGTTGGGGATCAGCGGTTGCCTGCAGGGTAGTGGGGGTTGGCGGGGGGATAGGATTTGACGTACAGTCCGGCGAAAAAACGCCGGTTTATCAACGCGCCGCGAACAAATTGATTATGCTCCTCGCCGATAGCAGATCCCTAATTACCGCCAGGGGTAGGGGGAGGGGTGGATTTGGGGTGAGAGAGGGTTATTTATTAATTTAAACGGGCCATTGTCGGGAACTTCTCGCGGTGGGGGGAGGAGGTATTTCGGGGTTAGGAGATTAATGACACGTTAATACAGACCGAAATAAATTTTTCGAGGGCTGTAAAAAAAACCACCCCTATTTTTTTATTAGGGTTAGAGGGAAAAAGGTAGATACGTTAATATTTGATAATAATCAAATTGGTATTGTAGGTGTCGTTGATTTAAAGGTCAAATTAATAAGAAATGTACCATATAGAATTTAATATCCCACTTCAAATATTTTTAGTTTTTAATATTATACGATCGAGAAAAAAGAAGCCGTCAAAGACGGCTGGGAAATGAAAATTAATCATAATTTTTTCGATTATTACATAAACATTATTTTTTGAAAATAGATTTGTGTGTACATATACAGAAACTTTCTATCCTTTTTTAGTCTTTCTATATGACGTCTGGAGATATGCCACAGTTATTATCGATTGTCATTCATCAGCCATCTTTTTTTTTTGATCATATGATACGTATATTGATAAGGAATAAATAGATAATTACATTCAGATTCAAAAAATCGCAACGGAGAAATTTTTGGTGAAATTTAAAGTGTTATATTTTTGTTATTTTCAGCCCTATTTTCATGATTTTTTTAGCAACCTATTTATAATTATATCAACTTTAGTTTTTTATAATCGAGGGGTTGTTTTTACCCTAACTTTAAAACACCCTGTGCAATAATGTTGAATGTAAATTTTCCTGAAATATAATTTTACGGTCAGAACCATGTCTCCTAAGCATTTTGTTTTTTAAGTCATGTCAAAATATGCCGTGGTTAATTTTTAAGAGCGAAATGAACTTGACAACAACAATTTGCAATATTTTCAATTATTATTTCTTTTTGAAGTTATTTTTCAATATGACAAGCCGGCTTTGGTGATTATTGTCAACTATATACTACTATGAACTGCCCCTCATGTTCGACGTTTGGGACATGCTTGGCATGAAGGTTAGAGGTCGCGGAGCGGTACCAGCTTCATTAAATGAACTTCGTTTGGTTTTTAAAGAAGAATGGGAAAGCACTGTGATATTAGGGTACTTTTTACTTTTTTTTTCTGTTTGTATACTTAAGTATTACAGATGCTTTCTTTAATATCGTTAGTTCTGTTATCGTTATTAATGTTTATTAAAACCAGGACTGTATCTTTAGTCATTAACGATTTTTTTATTTAATATAAAGTATCCAATGCCACCAAAACTATCTCGTCATATTAAACAATTACATCAAAAAGTAATGATAATTAAACAAATTGCAAATTGATCGTGATCAGTTCATTTCGCTTGTAGCGTTTTTTAAACAACTACCACTGCGAATGGCAGCTTTTCATCGGAGAGCAGTCGTGGATAAGGTATTTCACTAGAGAGAAAATTAATCAATAATAATAAACAAAAGATATATAGATATTGGGCGCCAGGCATGTACAGAGAAAGAAAACACAGTTGTATAATACTTAAAACTAATGACTATATTTATTCGTGATGAATTCTGATGGTAAATTGCATTGTACAATTAATCTAATTATTATAGTGGTTACTTGTTGAGTAAAACTATATATGTAAATAATATTAAATACGTTCTATGAAAAGACTATAAATAAAATACAATGCGTGTAACGTTATAGAAAATATAGGAAAAGTAGCATTACTTTATTTAAATTGTTAAATTTATACGGTGTTAAATCAGATGTGTTGCAACCTGCATATTCTAGAATCTATCTCGTTATTCATCTGTTAGTATAGCGTAATAATAATGTCTATAGAAAGTAATACTATTACAATGCGTGATATTATGAAATCTAAAATCTAAATCACACTTTACTACTGCAACGACATAAATATCCTTAATAATCTAACCTGTACGCTATTGTTTAAAATGTACGTTACTGTTTAAGATGTACGTTACTGTTTAAGACTGAAAACATTTTAGATGTTAAATGCAAAACTAGAACTTAAATATACACTTAGCTGTTCTTTTATGTAACCCTGCTTCAAACAGTAGCAGCGCGAGTACTGTCTGTCGGCGATCCAGGCTTAGAAATGGGGGTGAAGCAGCACGGGGCTCAAGCCACATCCACGCTGGGGCACTCTATGTGTAAGACAAATCAATCCTACTGGGGACACTTGTCCATGGGACATCCGTCCATAAGATAGTGGCACAAGAGAACACTACTAGGACCTTGAAAAATAGTCCATACCTTGGACACTTGTCCGTAAGACAATGTCCGTCCGTAAGACCCTAAGAACACGAAACTCTTGTTTAAAATCAAACACCGTCTAATAAACAAAATGAACCTACCTCGAAATACTTCCGAGGGCTCAATAAATAATAAACAATCTGTCCTTTCTTCCAAATGACATTCTGGAGGACAAAAGCAAAGGGACGCCAACGTGCCAGCCAAATACAAATACAAGTTGGGACATCCGTAACTCTACCCTAAAAATATTCACTAATAATATCGAATCTAAAAGGAAAATAACTCAGCTTTACCTGTAGCTTCGAAATGGCAGCTGATTCAGATTATACAGCAAGATTTAAATAATCACCATTTCTAAAAGCTGGGATAAAACAGAGCGTCAAAACAAATTGAGGTTAAGCACGGAGAGTTGACAGAAGCGATGTTGACAGCGCGCGCCTTCACAGAATAGTAACAGGGTTGTGTCGAACGATCACAGGGTTGGCGACCAGGGA